TGGCATATCACGACGTATACGTGTTGTATCGTATCAGCCTCGAAATGTCATTCATTTAATCGATAATACCGGCAGCGCTAAATTACTGCAATTAATTCGACAGGCCACTTGATGCGGAAAAGATATTTTATGACACGTATAACGGATCGCTTCAATTTTTCCATTATCAACCGAAGATGCACTAATCACCGTAGCTATTACGTACGCATACACATTTATAATTTAACTATAACATATAATTGAAGCGTACAAAGTCATAATGACTTCCTGCGAAATCGCAGCACGCGCATGTTACCGCAAACATTCCAACAATCTAGGAATAGATTAGAAAGTCGGGAAAATATCCGGGAAGATATAGCTCAAACGAACAACTTTTCGTGTTAAATGTCGCCATAGTTACTGAATATTGCCAGCAACGAAGCACAAGTAATGCTACACGGAGAGAATTTTTTTCTTAAAATTTATCCTGAAAATCACGTGGGACAACATGGCATTTCGAAAAATGTCAAAACACTCTCATAGAGTTCTTCAAAATGCCATGTTGTCCCACAATTACATGATCTTCAGGGCAATTTTTAAGAGATTCTCTCCGTGTACAATTATCTATCGAAAACTGATGATTAATTACAATAATCGACACTTTAACATTTACCCGACCCAACATTTTTGCTTCAGCCTTGCTTACTCCATCGCTCACAGTGTCAAAAATGCAACAACAATTGCAGAAATTAATTTTGCCGCCATTACAATGAACTAAATTATTTTGCACTCTCGTGAAATTAGAATCTTAGAAGATATCGTTTCCCGAAGAAGCATGCCTACGGAATGCACTCGATAACCTTGGCTCGTAAGACGGGTTTAAGTTGTGCGCAAGAGCGCCCGTTCTATATGGAGCCATGAAATCTCGAGCACCTTCTGCGAGACGTTCAAAATCGTTTTCCCTTCCTGCAAGTTGATCTCCGTAAAAACAGTTTACTCAAACGACATACACACAAAATCAAAATAAAATTAACGTTTATTTTTTTAAACAAAAATATTTATATGATTTACCTCGCGCAATCTTGAGTCGAATCTAATTATTGTATAGTTGATTTTACACGAGCTAGATAGCAAGGAGGAGTGAACCGTTGACCAAAATTGTGTACACCAATGCCTACTAATGCCTAGTGGGCATTACTTTATCTTATTATCTTATTTATCTTGTTTTATCTGATACGTGAACCTAGCCCTCACTGCTCAAATAAAGGCAAATGCTCGGTCTAGAAACATTATGTCTATGGGTTTACCCCTCAGATAGTAATATTAATATGTATCTCAAGAGAGATGATTAAAATGTCCAAAACACAATACGACCCTCTCGTGAGTCATTACTGTGGATCTTCGGGTTCAGAGCAAAACTCTCTCCCACGACAAGCGATAGCATTTAATTTGACTTGTAGGTGTAGGGTAAGTCGATAGGGTGTAGAACGTCTCACGCTGGCAAACAAAATACCCTTCGACAACGTATATTCGTTTCGCGTCTATGTGCCCACGAACCCTTTCGTGTAGCACGAGCAATAAAGCCAGTACTATTATTAGAGCATCCGGTGGACCCTGTCATTTTTTTTCGATACAAAGATCGTAGTCCGAGTTATCGACTTTGCGCTCTATTCGTACCAAGCGCGAACCAATGCGGCTTAGATTGGAAGTCGGTCGATACAGACGCTGACGTTGCGAGACCTCGGAACTATGCATAGTGAGTGGAGTATTAAACAAACCAACGGTAGAAATCTCATTCAGAAGATACGCATCTCGAGCCGTGTTTGTCCCAGCGATTCGTTTTGACGATCTTCGAACAATTTCTACGCTAATTGTTTAATACGAAATAAAGAGGAAAGCATTGTTATTATTCGTCTTTCCTGCAACGCAAATTGGTAAAAATTTTCTCAACTTCGATATAAAATGTTCACTTAGGTAAAAGTTTCCACGTTATACATTGATTTTAAATTCATCGGGAAATCTGTTAAATATATGAAAGTAAAAAATTTCTATCGTCATAATTTTTCTTCTAACACGTGTCGAGAATGTGGATTTCTAAATTAGAAATCTAGATTTAAATAGCGTATCAAGGACTGCGTATTTCTTTTATTGCTCTCTTTTCATGCAAATGTCATTTGATAGATGTACAAATTAACGCAAACGCTGCAGGAAGTGTATTAATCATGCAAATCGAGACCCATCGAATATAGAACCGCTTGTTCGACTCGACCTCGAGTATCAGTCGTTGGTGAAGCGAATAGAAAGAGCAGGTGACAATAGAAGATCGTATCCGACGTAACGTTCATTACACGCTGCACACAACAATGACAACAATAACTATTGTAAGCCGTCTAATTGTTTCATGAGAGTCAATAATTACCTCAATTTACTTGCGTCATATTGAGACAAGATATATCGGGTGTTGTATAAAAAAAAAGAAGATAAATATGTATAGAGTGGGATCTTATTACTGGAGAAGCAGCGTAATGACTCTTCCTTTCGCATAAATTAAATTAAGCTGCAAGCGTTAATTTCTTGCTCATTAAAAATCTCGAAACAAATTCTATTATGAGAAACGACCCGTGACTCATATTTATTTACGAACACCACGTAGGTATCCCACGTCATCCCGCCTTTTCGTCCCCTTTTCTGAAATCACGACGAACCGACTAGATAAAGCGCGATGTATTCGTTCGGCCGACAAAAAATCAATATATTACTTTGCAAGCAATATCAAAAGGGTCGCTCAAAGTTTTACGGCAATAAAATGCCAACTGACAGGCGTCACTTTCCATTTGAAATATCGTGGGGAAACAACCACCTACAGAACTCTGAAACCTTTAATAGACCACTTTTTGTCGCAACAAACGTAGAAATACGTGAAATGTGATCAGATGTCCGCTTAATCAAATTTCTATCTATCCTCTTAAAATTGTCCCACTTTCGTGCTGAAAATGTTCGGCGAAGAACCGTCTTCATATTATTATTAAACTACAAGTTAGAACATCGTGGTAATATAAGAACGCGCGTATTTATGATGTACTTAAACATTCATTTGCATTCACGAATTAACTCTGTCGATAAGCAATGTAAAAATTTTGAAAGGTGGAGACCTTATCTAAAGCTCCAAATGATCTCAAATTACGCAAATCGGGAATAACAAGAAATTATTTAGATTAAAATACCACGATTTTTAGCATTTTTTAATATAATTGCACTTTTTATCAGTGGTTCATAATTTATGTTAAGATTCGCTCCACGATACATACTGAAGGCATCGTGGTGTACAGATTTGCGGCATTACTAGGCATTTTTTGGGCATTAGTTTGGGCATTAGGCCCTGCTGGGGCATTATAAAGATAAAATAAGATAATAATAAGATAAAGTAATGCCCACTGTCCATTAGTGGGCATTGGTGTACAAGAATTTGGTCAGCGGTTTCCCCCTCGAGCTGCAACGGGACGAATCTTGGCTTGCTACACGGAGCAACCCTAAGATTTTTACTTCAGCCCATGAGTTTTGATCCATGAAACGTGACTGCTGATCGGCACATCGGCACCGTTCAATTCTACGATATAAACCTCACCGTAAGTAACGCGATACACTCGCTGTTTACCAAAGAGGAGTGAAACGTGACGCGAGGTATTGACGATTCCGTGTCACGTGCGCGCACGCGTGACAGCCACGAAACAATACCCGTCCGAAAGCCAACCACGACAGAAATGTATCGCAGCTGAGCCCCAATGATTCCTATCCCATTATCCCGCGGATCAAAGCCGCTCAGCCAGAAGGAGGGCATCAAATTATTCACTCAAAATTCCCGCCTATCTCTTCCATCTGTCCGCTGATCGAATTCATTACGATATAATCAGCGATAATCCGATACCTGATTCGTGAACAATTTACCAACTACAGAAACAGCTCCGAGCGTTCAACTCGTAACTCGTTAATTCATTTATCCAGATACAAGAGAATTTGTTTCTCGATCGACAAAATTGTGTTGCGTTTTTAATTATTATTGAAATTTCAAACGTGTATTGTGCATACATGTGCGTTCAGTTTGCACGTAAAATTTTCGCAACTCAATCTTAATGGCTTTGCGATAAAATGCATGTGTCAGCAATAACGTAATGTTCAACATTGTTTTTCTACCTTAATTAAATACAAAACTCTTCCCCCTTCATATTTAACCTTGTTTTAAGTTTTCTAAATTTTCGGTAGTAGAGGAAAGTCGTCTATCATGAGATGAGTTTCTAATATGAGATAGCAGGTTTTCAGCATCCAAAAATTTGATGAATTTCCCACTAAACATATTTCGCTCCGAGGACAATTGGTGGAACCAACTGGATGATGCCTGTTAACTTAACAGAAACCCCGCTATCCCATATTAGGGTCCTATCTCATAGGGAACTTCCTCCATATTATTTTCGCCCAAAGCAGATCTTAATTTTATCGAACGCAATTTCGAACGTAACTTCAAACATTTGCGCGATTTAATTTCATTCGGTTGGTTAGCGACTACACCCACCGCCCTCATTCGCTACAGCGCTCATTCAATTGAATGATCGTAAAAGTTACGTTGAAGAAATCTCATTTGAATTTAAACCCCGAAGATAGCCCTCAAATATCATTATTCTACATACATAGAGCGCGAATTGAACTGGAGTGATCGCACTAACAAGAAGACGTTAATCTTTCGTACTAAGAAGAACACGTAATCTCTTTCAGACAATCCTTGAACGTCGCAATTAGACAACAATATTCGCTCAAGCTTGTACGAACAAGCGGCAAAGGACGCGCAGCATCCGCTCTACAGCACGCAACGTACGTCCTCGTGGAATTAATTTTTAAGTGCAAAAAATTTTCTCGTTTGCCCGGCACGTACGCGCACTTTTAATAACATCATAATCGCCGCACTACCGCGCGTCGTCTACGTGCCATGCAAAGGTTCAAGTCGTTAAGGATGATTTAAAGTTTCTCACCGGTCATCCTGCGTGACAGTAATGTCGGGCGGGGGCGGAGGGGGCGAGGCACCGTCTGTAGCATCCAGCTTGCCGGCTTTTTACTGCGCTGCTTGGCTTCTCTGAGAGAGAAAGAGCGAGAGAGGCAGGGGGTGAGAGAGAGAGAGAGAGAGAGAGGCAACGCACCAGCCGACGAAGCGCGATACACGTTGTGCGGCAGCTCTCGCGGTCGTCGCGAGTAGTGTCTTCACGCCAGCGACATCGCCATCGACGGTCGACCCCGTTGGAATCTCGCGCCTCTTATCGCCGAGCCGATCGAGCGATCGCGTCCGTACACACGACGAGCGATGACCTCGGTATCCCAGCGCGCATTCGGGCGACCGCCTGCTCCTTCGTCCAGGGCCTTGTCCAACCCTTTACCCGAAGCGCTCGCTCGCCTTTGCCGCCGCTGCGCTTCTCGTGTCAATTTGCGTGGCGACCCTCGTGGAAGACGGCGCGTGATTCGATCCAATCGCCGGGACCTCTCGTGAACTCTCGAAAAGTTTCTATCACGACCCACTTCGCGCGGGTTCGCGAGCCTCCTCGCGCTAATCCCCCTCGATTATCTCGCGAGACCTCGGAGACCGCGCGCAATTTCGTAAGACTCTGCTGCTCGCCGGCTCTTCTCGCGTCCCGCTTGCGCCGGGTAATATTCGTCGTAAACCGTTACTCCAGGCTGGCTATTAGATTTATTACGGAATACCCGCCGCCAGTTCGCAGCGCCGTGCGAGCGGAGGCTGCGGTGAAAGCGAACGGCGACGATTATCGCGCGGAGCGAACAGCCGCGCTCGCTCCCGCGTCCTCGTAAACGCGGTCGCTCTCCAGCTACGCGCGCCGAGTACCACCAGACCGATCCCGCGAGGCGCGACTCGCCGATACTCGTCGGACGATCGCGCGCTGCGCTTCTCACCGGACGCGCCTGCCTTCGCGAAAGCGGTCGCCGTTTACACGTACCGGATGCCAGAGCCTCACACACGTGACTCGGCTGTGAAAATCCCAGAGAGGCTCGCTGGTATATCGATTGCCGCGTCGCAAACGTGACGAGCCCGCCGCGCATCGACCGCCTCGCCGATCCACGTGGAAGGGCACGTAAGCGCGAGACGAGTTTCAGCCCGATCTCACATCCGCGACTCTCAGCTGCTACCTTCGACGTGACCCCGATCAAGATTTAGCTCTGCTCCTGGCGACGACGACAAGTTACGTTGGCCAAGTCGACGCACGTGACCCTTGAATCTCTTTCCCTCGTGGGCGACGAATAACGGGTCTGAACTTTCCTCCCGCGAAACGAAAACCCTGGACTTCCGCGCAGGGTTGAAGGGTGACGGCGCCTAACTCCGAAAGGAGGAATGCTCTTCGAGTGTAATTCGATGACGCAGTCCCCGCGAAATTCAACGTACTCGGCGGCGACGTCTCTCCCGTTCGCGACGACGACAAGTTTTATCTTGGCCAAGTCGACGCACGTGACCCTTGAATCTCTTTCTCTCGTGGGCGACGATAGCGGGTCTGAACTTTCCTCCCGCGAAACCAAAACCCTGGACTTCCGCGCAGGGTTGAAGCTTGACGGCGCGAACTCCGAAAGGAGGAATGCTCTTCGAATGTAATTCGATGACGCAGTCCCCGCGAAATTGGACGTACTCGGCGACTTTCTCCCTCGCAATGGCAACAGGTTTGGATTGTCTCTTGGCGATTAAGTTAGATCGAAGGTGCTTGTAGCGACGGACTTTTTAAATACACCGCTGCTCTTGCTTCCCACGTAAGAAAGCGTTGAAATTTCCGCGCTTATCTCGATCGCGCCGCGAAATTTGCGTGTATGATCGCTCGTCGAAGCGGCGAAAGGAACGAGATGCACTCGGATACGCTCGGAAAGTGTATCCTTTCTTTTCCTACTCTCCCCCCTCTCTGTTTCTCCTCTTCCGCCGATCTTCCCGACGTCCTTAATTCCAAGGTCTCATAGGTGTCCCAGGTGTTGATCGGCTGCTGATGGAAATTACGCACGCTCCGTTTCACGCAACGGCGCGCGATACGACGTACCGCGCGTCGTCTCCTCGGGCGCGATTACGTCACTCGCAGACGGGAAACGAGATCGCATCCGGTTTCGCGAGCCGGGAAGTCACTCGCGAGGGTGTCACTTTCGGGCGAGGAGGGAGGGGGGGGGGGAGAAAATCTATCGATATCGATCGGATCGCGGCGCGTCGATCCGCGAACCCGGTACACGTCTCGCGTCCTGACGCTAGTACCATCGGACAAGTGACAGTCCCGACGCCGACCCGACACCGATACCGTCCATCGTAAGGCCCCGCAAGTTTCCCCGCGAGCGCGAGCCTCGATTTACGACCGGCGCGGCCGCATCTCTCCGTGGAGAGAGGAAGAGAGAGAGAGGGAGAGGGGGGGGGGGAGAGAGAGAGAGAGAGAGAGAGAGAAAGAGAGAGAAAGAGAGAAAGAGAGCGATCTTCTCTGCGGACGCGGGGTCCGGAGTCCGGGCTGGAAATCGCGAGATCGGAATGCGATTCGCGGGTGCAGTCGCTATTAATCGCAACGCTCGCCGACCGCCACGGAACTCTCGACAAGACTGGAGGTTCTCTTGCTAGGTGAGGCCGGCCTCTTTCTCTCTCTCTCTCTCTCTCTCTTTCTCTCGCGTTGCCCAGGAGCGTATCCGGCGCACGCGAGCCAGGTGGGACTCCTTCCGTGGAAAACCAATGAGTGTTTGCACAGGATGTGGGCGCGACGTAGAAAACTATCGTCGTCGCTAGACGAGTGCTTTCGTAAGATAATGTCGCCACGCTCAACCGCTCAACAGACGTATAATTCTCCGAGATTTTTTCCTGCGTGTCCCATGCTTCTCGCGTAATTTCGTTAGCGACACTCGGAAAAATGTCTTACTAATGCAGGTAGATTTTCTAAGTGTCGCGACAAAAATTATCGCGATTCTGTGGATTTGTTAGAAAATTCTTTGAAACCTACAAAATTTATAGCAGCAACACTTTAATATAGTAATACCTTCTGGAAAGTTTAGGTCTCATGACTAAACACACTGGTCAACAAAATTTTGTTACAACTATTTGCTAATTTTGACATCTCCATCTGTCGTTATCACGAAATCGTATTTGTTTTTATTCGGGTCTTGTTTTTCTTGTGACAGTTACGACCTATAAAATTATAATAACTTCCAAAATAAATAAATCCCAATTCCTTACGCCCGGGCTCAGTTCGCTCTCTTACTGTTACTTTCGGGATCCAGTCAATTTCGATCTACTTTCTACTTTCGTTCCTTCTAATATTCTCGTTCAACTTTCGCAAAATCCTTCCAAAACTGCTGCAGCCGTCGTGCTTCAACCTTATTATCAACTTCATGTACTTTAAGATGCGTTCGAATCGATAAATATATATAAATAAAAACACGACGGGGTTTGTTCGCGCGCGTGTGTATGTGTGTATATATGTGTGTACGTGCGCACGCGTGACTGTGTGCGATTAAATTGTTACGACATTGAGACGCCACGTTCAGTTTCGTACGAGATGACGCGTAATTAATCGAAATTGCGTCAATGGTTATTCGGGTATCGCATGCTCTCGTGTAACGTGGGCATCACTGAAAACTTCGTTGGCATTACGTTATAGTTTTATTTTGACTAACGCTATTTTCGAGCACCGCTTGTAACGCGGTGCATTGTGCGCAGTTTATTCGATGTGACGCGCCAATTAAAATTGCGCCGATGCTATGTTATAGCGATCGTGTTACGTGTTGTTTCTGTATCAGTTGACCGATTCAAATTGCGTCGATGTGACATTATACAGCATTAGCGTAATAATTTTATTCGTCTTATTCATGCTTGGCATTCAAATTGTAAAAAAATGTTAACTAGTGTATGCGTACTAGTGAATATGATGATTAAAAAAAGAGAAAGGTCCAGGCTCAACCCTAGGAAAAATTTACTTTAAATGAAATTAAAGTAAATTAAAGTTTTTAAAAGTAATCCTTCGAATCTAAGAGTTTACTTAAAGAAGTTAGCAGTTTACTTAAGAAATTTTAGAGTAATTTTTAGGTAGCCAAGCCTGTCGAAGCTTCCGCTAGATGGCCGCGCGGCATAGCACTTTCTCGTAAGAAGAAAACCGCACGCGGTGTTATTATATAAATTGTATCACATATAATACTTTTTGACACAATTCTTAAAGTTTTCTTGTTAATTCTTAAAGTAAGTTTTAAATTTACCTTAAATATGTAAAAGTTTAAAGTGCCCAAATTTACTCGGAATACTTCTTATTTTTCTAAAGTGAACTTTCAAGAACTTCGGTGTTTTCTTGACAATATCTGGCATTTTTAATAATACAGAAAATTTATTGCGAAAAATATTACCTCAGCCACGGTTTGAACCTGGACTTCCCTACACTCTAGGCGGGCGTCTAAGCTTGTAAGATTTACTAAGGTATGATATAATTTCCCAAGGAAAACCCTGGCATTATTTTTCGCAATAGACTTAAAAATTAAAATTATTTAGACACCAACATCCTGTCCTAGCTCTTACTCCTTTATTACTCCGTATTTGTGTTTTCACATTAGAGCCTTATGAATTTTATTAATTGTTAAGAAAACTATTACAATGATTAAATTCGTATTGAATGATAATCAATAGGAAGTCAGAAGGAATAAAACTCCGGATGTTCCACTCGAGATATTACTTTATCATAACTGACATATTCTGATTCATATAATACCAGGAACCTAACGAGATAATTGTAGAAAATAAAATCGATCTCAAGAGCCACGAGGTTTCACAAGGTGAAATATATCGCGTTTCGCTGATTATTATTTCTTGACTTATAAAATGTATCGATGGTGCGGATCAGATGAGAAGTGCATACGGCACTGCGCACACAACCTTTCTCACTCTATCGCTGCTCTTTATCCTTCTTTGCCTCTCTTCTTTCCCTCTCGATCTACTTTGCTCTCTAATTCCGTCTCTGTCGCACCAAACTACTCGCTTTAAGTAGGATGTCCTCGTCTTTCCCCCTTTCATCCTCACTCTTCAACCTGGCCGATCTCTTCTCTGCCATTTATACCGAAGTACCTCTCGGGCGAGTTCGTAAATTTTCGGCACAAACGACGGAGAGGAGACCAGCGAAATGAGAGGCGACGAAGCAGGAGAGAAAGAAGAGACACAATGGGCATTAACACCTATTAAATAACCCAAACATTATAAAGAATTGGGGGCAGAAAAGACAGAAAAAAACGCAAGCTGTGAAATTATAATTGAGTAGTACAGCTAAAAAAATGAGAGAGAAGCGTGAAAAAATTTTTCACGAGAACACTAAATAAAAAGTCGAGAAAAGAATAATAAAATTCTTCTTACATATCGTACACTGAAAAAAAAAGTCCGATTGCATATAATCGGATAGTCCAATTACATAATAACAAACGGATATATCCAATTAAATTGTATATCCGATGAAAATTATGATCGGTTTTTCGATCAAATTTCATCGGTAACTGCATTTTATCGGATAAATATAAGTTTCTTGGTGCATTGCACGCGAGAGTAAGTAAAAAAAAACGCAGGTACAACAATGGAAAATGAATGAACACACAGAGACGGGAAGGAAAAGACGCGAGATTAAGAAACAACGAGGGAAGATGTCGTTTCATCATCGCGGAGAGGCGAGAAACGGTGACGCCGGTAATGGGAAGGAGACGGCGAGCGAAAGAGCGACGGAGAAAGGGTGAGACACGGAGACGGTGGGAAAGAGCGGAGTTTAAAGCGAGAAAGAGGGACAGATAGGGGAGAGGAAGTGAAGAACGTAAGGGGAAATCCCAAAGGGAACGAGAGGAGAAGGTTCTCCCACGTAACCACGCCCCACGTTCGCCGACAGATTTTTGCGGATCGAGGGGAAGGAGAGGGGGAACGTCGAGGCAACCCATGGGACGCCGGAGTGCGGCCCCCGTTCGCAACTCTTTCTCTCCCTCTTTCCTCTGACCAAGGTGGAAATGCACACGCGCGCGCACTCGCACACACGCAGAACGTCGCCCAGAATTTCCTCCCCTCGGAAGTGTGTCGCGATCTCCTGGACACGCTAGAGCGACGTCGCGTCTGCTCTACCACCGGGAGGGGACGGGGAACGAGGAAATGGCATATTAAAACGGTTGTACAGAGATTAATTTGTCGGAATAGGGCACTGCGCGCTCCTCTTATGATAGTAACTCGCGCGCGCGCTCGGCCGCGTCTCTGCGTCGTCGTCGTCGTCGTCGTCGTCGTCATCGTCGTCGCCGTCGTCGTCTGCTCGTCTATGCACATCAGACGCGTGCAACGCGAAAGAGCGTCCCGTTCCCCGTTCCACCAAGCGGCAGCCGAGCGTGTGATGGCCGCGGATAATAAGCGCTCCATATCCCCTTTTTTTCCGCGAGCGGCATCGCGCGCCAGTAAAGAAGAGCGCCCATCGTGCACGAGCGTGTGCCTTCCGCTCTTTAAACAGTTCTCTTTAAACGGAAGAAACAAAATAAAACATCGATTCAGTTACGCAGTCCGCCGTGCACGCTAAACGCGGAAGTTCCAGCTTAACTCTTTCAACATTATCTACGTTAATCCCTGCTTTTTTTTAATCCTTATTTATCGCGGACAAAATCTAAAATTTGCATGGATTGTTTTTACGAATACTGGGACACTTTTTAAAAGTTAGCGTAGGCCGTACCTTCGAGACTTTAATCGCCAACAATCAGAGATGAGATATCGCACGGATTTTTATTTTGTACATACATACAGTGCCGGCCAAAATTGTATCACCTTTCGATTTTTTGAGCATGGCTAGTTTTAAAGTCGCGCGAATAAAAAACTCACGTATTTTGTCAAATTTCATTATCCTTCGTGTATGTACAAGATATAACTGTGATCAAGTATCTCTGTAAAACTTTGAGCACATTCGATGCATTTGGACGAAAGTTATGCTTGGAAAACCTGCAGGTGATATAATTTTGACCAGTACTGTACATATAAAAATTGAATAACATTTGTCGCTCGCGCAAAAAGGAGCAAAATTATTTGTACACGCGTAAATCGTTTCCCACTCGAATAAACGAACGATGCCAAAAAGTGTCAAAAAAGGTTTCGGATTTATTGCGCACCTTGTACGATTAACAAGAATTTCCTGAAGTGGCTG